GGAGGAGGGGGAGGAGGAGGAGGAGGAGGAGGAGGAGGAGGAGGAGGAGGAGGAGACTGAGAAGGAGGAGACTGAGAAGGAGGAGGAGGAGGGGGAGGAGGAGGAGGAGGAGGAGGAGGAAGAGAATAGAAGGAGGAAGATTTTTTTCACTGCGCGCGAACGCCAAGCAGAACTCTGCAAGCAGGTTAAAACTTCGCGGCATGAAAAATGAGGCTAACTGCATAAATCCGCCTAGCCAGCATGCGCCTGCAGGGCCGATACGACCGGCAGGAGCCTTGTAGCCTCTACCGGGACCAACCGCGACGCTGCACTCAAAACGGGCGCCACTAGCCACGGCTCTTCCCGCAGCTGTCTAATTACCTCATCTCCGTCGGGAAAGCGGCTGAGCAACTCGAGATCAGAGACCGAGAGCGCCTTCGCACCCTCGTCAAAACTCGAGCCGGAAAAATGCTGCCCAGAAAAAGCCGAAACTTCCGCCTCACCCGAAAGAGCGCTCATAGCCATCTGATCGGAGGGCGCCTCAACCGAAGGAGGCAGCCCCAAACCAGCGTCAACGGACACTCCTGGGCAAGCCTCGGAAAGAGGCTCAGCCAAAATGGCAGCTGAAAAGCGAACCTCATCAGACGGAGGCTCAGCCAAAAAGGAATCCACAAGAGTAGGGCGAGCCTCAACAGATGGAAGCTCAGCCAAATCAGCACTTGAGGAGACCACTGAGGGAGATGTTGCAGAAGCGGCTTCAGCGACAGACGAGCGAGCCTCATCATAGGGGGGCTCAGCCAAGAATGCTTTTGAAACCACATCTTCATGCACAGCAGCGGCTTCAGCGACAGACGAGCGAGCCTCATCAGAGGGAGGCTCAGCCAAGAATGCGTTTGCACCCACATCATATTTCTCCCTCTTCTTGTGTTTTCTTTAACGGCACACGCGCTCGCCGATCAAGAAATTCAAGGCCTTGGCGTCCTCCTCGGCGGGGTGCGGGGAATGCGGACCGGTGGAGGCGGCGGCGGCAGCACCTGCACCGCAGAGCTGGTCGGTGCAGCGTTTGCTGGCGGGGGTGCTGGCGGCCACTCTTTCAAGCCCGCCTTGGCCTCCTCCGAGCGGACATCCTTGTTCTTCTTCGTGTGCTTGCGCTTCCGAGGGCGCTTGGCCTCTGCCACCGCTGGAGCCGGAGGCGGCGTCGGGATCTTCAGACAAGCCCTCGGAGCGTCCTGAGACTCCGGAGGAAGCGAGAATACCTCCTTCGCTACCGGCGGTGTCGGGGACCTCGTACTGGCACCGTTGCACTTCTCCTTCAAAGCCGGGGCCACAGGCGGAGCCGACGCCTCCTTCTTGTTGACCTGCAAACGGTCCCATCTCCAGAGGCGTTTTACTGGCTGCACCTTCTCCCCCTCCGGCTTCAGCGGCAGGGAATCCTGCCCCTGAATCTGCATGCCCTTGCTGAACTCCATGTCCACCACATCGACCAGGCTCCAAATCCCTTGCGGTGACGACGGGGGGGCAGCCGTAGACAGAGCCTCTTTGAGCCAGAGGAGGAGGAGGAGGAGGAGGAGGAAGAAAAGGAGGAGGAGGAGGAGAGGAGGAGGAGGAGGATGGGGCGGATAATGGGAAGGAGGAGGGGAGGAGAAGGAGGAGGAGAAATGAGAAGGAGGAGGAGGGGAGGAGGAGGAGCAGGAGGAGGAGGAGGTGAGGAAGATAAGGAGGATGAGAGGAAGAAAAGGAGGAGGAGGAGGAGGAGGAGGGGGAGGATAAGGAAGAGGAGGAGGAGGAGGAGGAGAAGGAGGAGGAGGAGGAGGAGGAGGGGCAGGAGGAGGAAGAGGAGGAGGAGGAAGGGAAGGATGAGTGGAAGGAGGAGGAGGAGGAGGAGGCGGAGCAGCAGCAGCAGCAGCAGCAGCAGCAGCAGGACCACCACGAGAAGGACGAGAAGCAAACAGAGGCGCGAGGAGCGAGGGGACGAGCAGGGGCGAACGCGGGGCGGCGACGTGCTGGTGAGCGCGCGGCCCCAGGAATAAGAGGAGGTGGCAATGGTGGACGGTGGCACAGCTGCAAATGCTTGCTCAAATCGGACTCTTGTGTGGAAAACCTGGGACAAACATGGAGGGCGCCTCCAGGGACAGTGCGCACAGGCAAGCTCATTACCGTCATCGGCCTGACCTAAAGAACGATAAGTAAGGAACGGAGCCCCTTCTTTCCAAGTGCTAACGCATAACGAGCGTTGATTAATACATAACGCCCAGGGACCGATGAACAACGCATGCGAACCTAAGGAACGACGGACCCACCTTTCAAAAGTAAGCGTTTCTGATTCAAGCCGCTCACTGCATGCCAACCTTTCTCTTTGAATCGGATGAAGGCCAGCTGAGATAACCGCAGCTCCCCCGCCCAGCCCGCATCCGCGCACAACTGAGTCCGCAGTCCCCGCCCGAGGTCCTTCCTGACTCTCGCCCTCCCGGGCGGGGCCAGCGGTGGCGACGGGAAGACTCTGCAGGAGGGTGCCAAGAGAACGAAGCAAATAGAGGAGGCCCAGAAAGGACGAACTGAACCTCCTCCAAGCTAACAGCCCTTCAGGAGGAGGAGGAGGAGGAGGAGGAGGAAGAGGAGGAAAAGGAGGAGGAGGAGGGAGAGATGAGGAGATAAGCTAATTGCGCTCGCGCCATATCTGTAATCCTGCACAGCCCACAGATCCAGTCCCACTGCACTGCTTGATTATCTTTCCGCCGACGGGGGTCATAGCGGACCTGGAACCCAAAAAGGACACCATCGTGTAATGCGCCATATGACAACGGGAGCGATGCACACTGGAGGAAGAGAGGTGGCGGATGCGCAGAGCATTAACAGGAGGAAGAGGAAGAGGAAGGAGGAGGACGAAGAAGAACACGAACAGGAGCAGGAGTGAGAGGAACGGGAGGAGCGGGAGAACCAGGGGAAGGCGGAGAAGGAGAAAGGAGCAAATCGCGAACCATGGGGCAAGACTCGGTGCAAGAACTGATGCCCACGCTTGGGCAAGAGAGCCGCGCTGAACGACGGGAGCAAAGGCGCCGATCCGAAAACGAGGCCCGCGCTGCAGCGGGACCACCGTGTGGAAACACCGAAGCAGCCGCGCTCAAACAAACCAAATATGCATGTGTATATATATATTGTGTATGCATACACATAGGCATACATATCTATATATATATACACAGATCTGTATATATATATATATAAATGATATCTGTATATATATGCACACACATACACAAAAAAAACCTATACAACACATGGGAGGGGCTTGTCTGTTCCCGTCGTTCGTTCGTCGTCGTCTCCGTCGGCTCCCGGCCCGCTCCGGCCCCGGCCCTGGCCCAGGTCTCGGCCCCGGCGCCCTCCAAATCCAACTGCACCTCCGTGGCCTCCCAAATGCCCTAGGTGCCGAGCCTAGCTTCAAAACGGCGAGCGAAACCTGGAAATCGCCCAAGGAGGGCTCCAAGACGCCCCGAGTGATCCTGATAGGCAACCGGCGTCGTCGTCAACATCATCAACATCGCCATTATCTCCCTGCTTTGTCCTCCTCGTGATCGCCACGCTCTACTCGCCCCTGCCCTTCCTTCGTGTCCGCCCCGCGACCCTGCTCGCCTCACTCCCCTCCTATTCGTTCCCCCCCTGTGCTCCTACTCCTCCTCATCCACCTCTTCCTCCTGTCCCCCTCCTCATTTTCCTCCCCACGCTCCGCGCCCTCCTCCCCAACCTCAGGGTCGGCGGCACCGGCCATAAAGCCTTCGCAATACACATAAAGCAAATACACATAAATAACACATGATAGCAAGCGAGCACAAAGACATAACAGCCAACCCCAAACAACACGTTGCTGTGCTCCTGCGTGCGGAGCAAACTCGGCAAACAGGGGGCGGGAGGGAAGAGAGCGGCACCCACGTTGAGCAACCGTCGAGGAACAAGGAGGGGGTAGACAAGAAAGAGGCAGGGATGGAGCGAAGCGTTGTTGTTCTTCGTCTTGTTGTCGTTATGTGCTTCGTTTTGCTCCACGTGCAAATGATCCTGGCGAATGACGCAACCATATGACCGCAAGTATGAATATCTTCTTGGGTGAAGCTCCCTATGAGGCCACGAAGCGCTGCACTGGATGGGGGGACCGCATGAGGGCGGTAGCACTGGGGCCGTCGGTGGAGCTCCCTATGGGGCCAAGAGACGCTGTATTGGGTGGGTGATGTGCCAAATTGGGTGTGTGGGACGCACGCGGGCGGTCCCACTGGTGCCATCGGTGGGGCTCCCTATGGGGCCACGAAGCGCTGTACTGGGTGGGTGAAACTTCCAAATGGAATGGTTCGGGACGCATGCGGACGGTCCCAGTGGGGGCATCGGTGGAGCTCCCTATGGGGCCACGAAGCGCTGCACTGGGTGGGTGAAAATGCCAAATTGGGTGTGCGGGACGCATGCGGGCGGTCCCACTGGGGGCTTCGGTGGGGCTCCCTATGGGGCCACGAAGCGCTGCACTGGGTGTGCGGGACGCATGCACGCATGCCGACGGCAGCAGTGGGACCTGCGGTGAGGCTCCCTATGGGGTCACGAAACGCTGTACTGGGTGGGTGAAACACAAGGAAGAGGGAGGAGGGGGAGGAGGGGGAGGGAGGAGGGGAGGAGGAGAAAGGCGAGGAGAGGAACGCGGGGCACCGTCTCTTCAAAACGAGGACCCAACACCACAGGATGGTTGGGAAAAACAAAACACAGCCGAAGTCCAGCAAAACGTTTGGGTCCAGCCCTGGAAGGAAGACGACTGACGATCGTGAGGCGGGGCCCTCGATGTCTTAGGTCGGGCGTGTCTCCCCACAGGAGGATTTTTGGGCGAAGAAAAAATAGCCAGGACATACTCCGAAACAGTGGAAACAGAGTCGAAACATCGTCCCCGGACTATTGTTTGACTATTTCTGGATACTCCTCCTGTAGAGGGACGCGCTCGACCTCATCGTGGTCCAGACAGCCAAGGGGACGCCAATGAGGACTGCACTGGAGGGCTGCCGCTGGACGGCGAAGAACGTTGGGGGCCAGGCCCTCCTCCGAGCTGAGCTTCGAGAAGAAGGAGAGGAGGGGAGGAGGAGGAGGAGGAGAGGAGGACCACGACGACGAGGAGGAGGAGGAGGGGGGAGGACGGATGAGAAGGAGCAGGAGCAAGAGCAGGATGACGAGCGGGATCACGAGGAGGAGGAGGAGGAGGAGGAGGAGGAGGAGGAGGAGAAGAGCGACGACGACGACGACGACGACGACGACGACGACGACGACGACAAGGCCGGGTTTCGTGGCGGCGGTTTTTTTTTGGGGCAAAAACCCCCGCGGGGCGCGCCAGATGGCGCTGCTGCGCGCGGGGCTCGAATTTACAGGCGCCGGGGGCCGGCGGGGCTACCGCGCGGGCAGCCGGCGGGGGTCGACCCGTCCCCCCCCTCCTCCTCGCTTCTCACCCCCCTGCCCCTGCATCCCCCATTATTCCTGGTCCCCCACAGATACCCCCTCCCCGCTTCCTCATCCTCCCCCCCACTCCCCCTCCATCTCTCTCCTTCGTCGTCGTGGTCCTCCTCCTCCTCCTCCTCCTCCTCCTCCTCCTCCTCCTCCTCCTCCTCCTCCGCCTCCCCCTCCTCCCCAATACCGCGACGAGATCAGGCAGAGCCTCCAGAATCTCCTGCTTCCCCTCCTCCTCCTACCCGGCTTCCACCTGCTCCATTCCTGTTCCTTACAAATAACTCCTCCCTGTCGCACCCCGAGGCCGGCCAAGCGGGCGAATCGGCCCGCGAGATCGGATCGGATCCGAACCGGATTGGATCGTCAGCGAATCGTTCTGGATCGGAATCGGATCGCCGAGCCCAGCTCCAGCTGACCCGGGCCGATGCCCGCACACCGAACCGAACCGAACCGAAATTGCGGTCCCAGCCAGCGAATCGAATCGCACCGAATCGGATCGCAGGCGGCCCTGCCGCGTCCTCCTCTTTCTTCTCGGTTCTCACCCTCCTGCCCTGCTCCCCCACTCCTGCTCCTTACAGATACCTCCTTCCTGTCGCACCCCGAGGCCGGTCGAAGGGGCGGGCCAGGCATTTCGCCTGAGAGTTCCTCACCATTTACGGCCCTGATGCTTAAGAACTTGCAAGTGCTTCACAAATTGAAAGTGGGTCGCTGTCAAAATGTGGTTTTCGTCGTAGCGCCGCGCGCATCCATTCTAACAATTCGCTACGAGCTCAGCGGATTGAGGGCGGGTCGTTTTCAAAATGTGGTTTTCGCCTTAGCACCGCGCACATTCGTTCTAAACGTTTGCTCAAATTTCACGGCTTGCGGGCGGGTCGTTTTCAAAATGCTGCTCTCACCGCGCCGCCGCGCAGATCCATTCTAACACATTGCAACAGTTTCAAGGATTGCGGGCGGATTGTTTTCAAAATGTGGCTCTCGCCTATGCACCGCGCGCGCTCCAGGAGCGTCACGGATTGAATGCGGGTCGTTTTCAAAAGTTCGCTCTTTCCTTCGCGCCGCGCACACTCGTTCTAACAAATGTCCAGAGGTTCACGTATTGAGAGCGGGTCGTTTTCAAAATGTGGTTCTCGCATTAGCGCCGCGCGCACTCATTTTTTAACATTTGCGCAAGTTTCACGGAATGCGAGCGGTTCCTTTTTCAAAATGTGGCTCTCGCTTTAGCGCCGCGCACACTCGTTTTAAACATGGGTACGACTCTCTCGGATTACCATAATTAACGGAACAGAAATGGAGCCTTTTCAGCGATTCGCGATCCTCATCCCGATCATGATCACCACCGTCATGATCGTGGCCCCCCTCATCATCATCCGCTCGTGCCACTCACCTCCATGCTCTTCATATTCCTCCTCAACATCCTCCTGCTCTGTTGGGATCGCCGTCCCACCCGCCTGCCGCCGGCGCACACCCCGGTTTGGGGAACGCCGGCATCGGCTGTCAGCGCCTCGGCGCGCCTGGGAGGAAAAAGTGATGAGGAGGAGGGGGAGGATACAGGGGACGGGAGGGGAAGAGGAGGAGGAGGAAGGGGCGGAGGAGAAGGAGGAAGACGAGGATGAGAAGGCCTTGTCACTATAACTGCGGGGGTTGACAGCTGCACGGGAGGAAAACACGGCAGCGATAAGATGTTGATTGTAAGGTATATATCCTCCGTACATGATACAGGTACGCGCCGGGGATGAATCCAAACGGCGGACTTGCGCGGGTGATAACAACTTTGGTGGGAAGAAGGGACAGAAGAAGACGGGAACCATAACTGTCCAACCCACCACGCATTCTAGACTCAGCAGGGATACCTGATTGTTGCCTGACCTAGAGGCGAGCGACGCGGCTGGACGCGAGCTCACCGTTTCGACGGGTACCTCACACGTGCTCGTAGGAACGGCACTGGAGAAGCTCGCGCGTGTGAGAGCGGCGTGAGTTCGCCCAGGGCGCATCTGTGTGTCGGCGACATCGGGCCGCACACGTGGGATCTGAAAGGCCGCCCTAAAAAGTAGGCGAAGCGCTGGTTCCCAGGCCACGTGAAGGGCGAGGTGGAAGTGCGAAGACGCCTTGACCTGGCATGCTGGAGAAGATGATTGGCGGGGAAACCCGCGCGGGATGCGCAAACGATTTTGTTGGCACGATCGCCTCGAAGCTCACCGTGAGAAAAATTGCGGGGGCCACTCCGTCCACGGTAGAAGGCCACCTCCTCGCTGGGAGCGCCACGGGCGGCCTCAACCTCCTCAGACTCGGCACTGCCCGCGGGCGAGGGATGGCCTGGCACGCCGGCGGCGGCCGCGCGGAGGGCCGCGCCGGCGCTTGCCCTTCACCCCTGCCCTGCGTGTCCTCTTCTTCTTGCTGGGCAGGTCGTCGTCGGTCGCGCGCGTGGGCTCGGCGTTGCTCGCGTCCTCGCCCTTGCCGACGCGGCCGCGGCATGCCCGCGAGAGCCGGTGGGCGCCGCGACTCCAGTCCTCGCCCAGAACGGGCGCGGTGCTGAAGGGCGGCGCAACGTCGGCCTCCAGCTGGAACCGCTAGCAGCACTGGCCTCGTCAAACTCCGCCCCGCCGGCCGCTCGTAGAAGAGGGCGCGCCATGGGCCGACTCGTCGAGGGGCTCAGAAAGGGTCTCACCCGATGCCTGGCCGCGAAGAAGAGATTGGCGAGCGCCCAACATCGGCGGCACTCGGCCCTCTGTCGCGCATTCCACGAATTCCGCGCGGCGCTCGGCTCGACGCGGTGCATGACCAAGGGGAGGTCGAGTCGAACGGCCTGTTGTCGCATAGTGGTTCCGCGTCGTCCACCCACCGCGCGGCCCGACGAGCCTCGCAAGCGAACGCGGCGCGCATCTCCAGCCCCGCGATCCGCGCTGAACACGCGCTCGTACGTATCAGCAAATCAAAGATCGGGTCGCTGACGTGCCGCTGCTTGATGGACCCCACCACTTCGGAATCTCTCTCGCTGAATGCCGGGCTGCGCGAATCCCTCGCGAGCGCAGGGGACGGTGGTAAGAGACGGAGCACTTGGCGGCGCCCGCGCGGAGGATCTGCTGCGCGGCAGCGCCCGCGCGCGGGGCGCAGCAGCTAGTCGGCGCCTGCGGGGGGGCGGCGGGCGAGAGCGAGGCCGCGGAGCTGCTCGAGCCGGAGTGTGAACGCGAGGAACAGATCAGGTGGAGGTGGCGCGCGGGACGCGCCATTCCCCGTTGAACTGCTGAAGCTGCCGCCGCAACGGTCGCACATGCCCCTGGCGCGGCGGGGGGGCGTCATCGGCGGCGCGCCAAGTGCCCGCGAGGGCGTGAGGACCCGGGCACGGGGAAGCAAGGGCGCCTCGTTCGCCAACGGACACAGGGCTGCAACGGTGCAAGGGAGCCTCTTTCGGACAGCCGGAGTCGTGAGGATGGCTCGCGCACTGGGATGTAAGAGCGCCTTGAGCTCTCGCGGATCCCTCGTCGCCAAGGTTACGGCTGACGGCCGTCGACTCTGGTTGCCCCAGATGGATGCCAGGGTCACGGCTGATGGCCGTCTGAACGCAATGCGTCGTTACAACCGTTCCTCTCCCTTCTGGCCTGACGGGCCCTGCGTCTTCTTGCGAGGTCTGCTGGTCGCCAGGGGTGCCCAGAAGGGCGTCAGGGAGCAAGGGTACCTCGTTCTGACTGTCAGAACTGTGAGGATCACGGCTGACGGCCGTCTGGTCGTTTTGCATCAAGGGGGTGCCAAGATCACGGCGGATGGCCGTCTGCACGCTTTGCGAGGTCTGCTGGCCGCCGGGGGTGCCCGCGAGGGCGTGAGGACCCGGGCGCGGGAAGGCAAGGGCGCCTCGTTCGCCAACGGACACAGGGCTGCAAGGGTGCAAGGGAGCCTCTTTCGGACAGCCGGAGTCGTGAGGATGGCTCGGGCACTGGGATGCAAGAGTGCCTTAAGCTCTCGCGGATCCCTCGTCGCCAGGGTTACGGCTGATGGCCGTCAATTCTGGTCGCCCCAAATGGATGCCAGGGTCGCGGCTGACGGCCGTCTAAACGCACTGCATCGTTACAACCGTTCCGTTCCCTTCTGGCCTGACGGGCCCTGCGTCTTCTTGCGAGGCCTGCTGGCAGCCAGGGGTGCCCAGAAGGGCGTCAGGGAGCAAGGGTACCTCCTTCTGACTGTCAGAGTTTTGAAACTCACGGCTGGCGGCCGTCTGGTCGCTTTGTATCAGGGGGATGCCAAGATCACGGCTGATGGCCGTCTGCACGCTTTGAGAGGTCTGCTGGCCGCCACGGGTGCCCGTGAGGGCGTCAGGACTCGGACACGGGGATGCAAAGGTACCTTGCCCGCCGACGGGCACCGGGCTGCCAGGGTGCAAGGGTGCCTCATCCTGTCTGCTGGCAGGAGGCTCGGGGGACTGCTGCTGCTGCTGCTGCTGCTGCTGCTGCCGCTGCTGCTGCTGCTGCCGCGGGGAATCGCCGAGGGCGGCGGCGGCGGCGGCCGCCGCCGCCGCGCCAGCGGCCACGGCGGCCGCGGCAGCCGCGGCGGCGCCAGCAGCGGCGGGCCCCAGCGCGGCAGCGCGGGCCACGGGCGGGCGGCCGGCGCAGCCCGCGGCCGCGGCGGCGGCAGCCTCCGCCACGGCGCGGCGGCCGGCGGCGGCGGCGGCGGCGCGCGGCGGGACACCCGGAGCAGCCGGCGGCGGGCGGCCGCTGCCCGCGGCCGCCGACCCCGGCAACGGCCGGCGGCGCGGCCGAGGCCTGGCGGCCGCCCCAGGGAGGGGGGGGGGGTGGATGTTCGGGCGGGGCGGCAGCGGCGGCGGCGCGGCAGGCAGCCCCGCGCCGCTGCCGCCGCCGCCGCGCCGACCGCGAGAGGGGGGGCCGAGGGCGGCGCGGCGGCGCGCCCCTCCCAGGCCGCGCAGGCCACCTCGAGCCCTGACCCCGGGGGGAGGAGGACCCCCCCGAGAGATGGCTTGAGCCAGTGGAGCCAGGGGGGGGGGCAGTCCTTGACTAGCTCTCGGAGGGACCCTGCGGAAAGCAAGTCGGGATTCGAGCTGGTAGGGATATGCGAGGCGTCGAGAATCCCACCAGCCCTCTGGGCGTCGGTGGTTTAGGGCGTTTCCTCTTCCACCCCTCCCTCCCTCTTCCCCTTTGGGGAGGGGTTTACCCCTCCCCCTACCCCCTCCCCACTGACCTGGACAGGAGGGGCGGGGAGCGGTCAGAGCGTCCAAAACGGCCTCGGCGAGGAAACCAAAATCATTGATTTTACTATGGTGTTGGCCCCATTTTGGCCTTCTGAGGGGGCAGCGCTAATTAGAGCTCCCCTCTTCTTTGATCGATTTCCTCCACGATGGCCGCAAGAGGCCCCCAGGATGCCCCAAGATGCCCCAAGATGGCCCCAAGATGGCCCCAAGAGGCCCCCCAAGAGGCCCCCAGGAGGCCCCCGAGAGACCCCCAAGAGGCCCCAAGAGACCCCCCAGAGGCACCCAAGGTGCTCCCAGAGGCCTTTTTACTTGGTTTGGGCCCCATTTTGGCCTTCTGAGGGGGCAAAGATAACCCCAAGAAGCGCCCAGGAGGCCCCCAAAGGCCCCAAGATGGCCCCAAGAGGCCCCAAGAGGCCCCCAGGAGGCCCCAAAGAGGATCCCGAACGGCCCACAGAGGCCCCCCCGAGGCACCCAAGACGCCGAAAAGCCCCTCAGGACGACCCTCTACTCGCCTGGGCGTCGTTTCTGGACGGGCTGGTGGGGATACGCGAAGCGTCTAGAATTGTGACTTCTACCTCCCAAGGAAGCTGTCGAATGACGGACTCAAGGAGTGAAAAAGGCACCCAGTCTCCACTCCTGGGGAAGGAAAGAGTTACCGGGTACACCCCGCTGGGGCTAATGGAGAACTGGATGTGGCCACACATTGGGCTCCGATATTTCTTCCTCCTCCTCCTCCTCCTCCTCCTCCTCCTCCTCCTCCTTCTCCTCCGCCTCCCCCTCCTCCTCCTCCTCCTCCTCCTCCTCCTCCTTCTGACCTCCTCCTCCAGCTGCTTCTCCCCCTCCTCCTCCTACTCCTCCTCCTACTTATCCTCCTCCTCCTCTTCCTCCTCCTCCTCCCCATCATCATCCGCCCACTCCTCATCCAGCTGCCTGCCTGTACCACTCCTTTTCCTCCTCCTCCTCCTCCTCCTCCTTATTAGTATTTTCTTGTATTCCCGTCTCTTATTTTCTTCTGATCTTCTCATCACCCTCCTCCTTATCCTCCTTCCCCTCCTCCTACCTCTTGATTTTACTTGTCCCCCTCCTCCTTCCTCCTCCTCCTCCCTCCTCCTGCTTATACTCCTACTCCTACAGCTGATTATTCCCCTTCTCCTCCACCTTCTACCTCCTCCTCCTCCTTTCCCGCCTCTGCTTGTCCTCCTCCTCTCCTCCTCCTCCTCCTCCTCTCCTCCTCCTCCTCTTCCTCCGCTCGCCTCGCCTCCGCCTCCTCCTCCTCCTCCTCTTCCTCCTCCTCCTCCTCCTTCTGACCTCCTCTCTCTCCTCCCCTATCTCTCTCCTCCTCCTCCCCCTCCTTTCCTCCTCCTCCTCCTCCTCCTCCTCCTCTTCCTCCGCCTCCGCCTCCGCCTCCGCTTCCTCTTCTTCCTCCTCCTCCTCCTCCTCCTCTTCCTCCTCCGTCTCCCCCTCCTCATCCAGCTGTATCCCCCTCCTCCTCCAAATCCAAGTTGTCCTCTTCCTCCTCCTCCTCTTCTTCCTCCTCCTCCTCACGCTCTCCTGGCCCTGTTCCCCTTGGCAGGCCTGGCACCAGCGAGAGGCGAGACTGCTGCGGCCCCGCCCCCGTGGCGATCGGCGCCGGCGGCGCCGCCTCTGCCGTGGGCCGTCGTCGTCCGTCTTCCGTCGTTCCGTCGTCATTTTCGTCGTCGTCGTCGTGGTCGTCGTGGTCGTCGTGGTCGTCGTGGTCGCGGGCGTCGTGTCGTGGACGTCGTCGTCGTCGTCATGGTCGTGGTCGTCGTGGTCGTCGTCGCCGTCGCCGTCAACGTCATCTTCTCCGTCGTCGCTGCCGACGTCGTCGTCGTCGTCGTCGTCGCCGTCGCCGTCGCCCGCAACACACTTTCACAACCATCAGAATTTTTCGCGGCGGCAGCAACGCCAGCAGCAGCACCAGCCATCCTCTACCAGCAGCGTCCAGCAACATCCACTGCAGCAGCAGGACGGGTTAGAGCACTGGCGCCCCTGGGGAAACCAAAAGGCACCGATACCAATACTCCCCGGACCTCTCCCAAGGCGCGCTCTGATCATAATTCCGAAGCAAAAACAACTGTGGCGAAGGAGGTCTGCCAGGAGGCCCAGATAAGGCGAGAACGAGGGAAGAGTAGTGGTCGGTCCGGAGAATTGAAACATGAGGTCGGAAGGCATTGGGAGTAGATTGGGTTTCCGCCCGCCCCCAGAAGAGGAGGGACGAGGGAAAACCAATCGACTCTCGAAGAAGGAGTGAGCGAACGAGCGAAGGTTGGCGTGCGGAGGTCCGCGCCCGTGGAGGGTTGCGGGGTTTTTGTCTGGTAAACAAAACCATCGCCATGCGTCAAGAATCCTGCCTGCGGCTCCATCAGCCCGCCGCTTACCCGGTCGTCCCTGCGACCGGATGCCCAGTGGCTGCCACTCCAGCAATCCCTGTGACTCCCGGAGCGAGAAGGCGGCAAAAGCGAATTGGGATCCGGGGGTCCAAGAAATACCGACCTTCAACGACGAACGGGCAGCGCTATCACGACGTGCCCCTCCGCCGAAGCGCGAGCCAGGGCGCTGGCGTCCCTCGTCGGCGCAGCCGCTGCCCGAGGCCGCCGCCCCATGGCGCGGCGTGCTCGCATAAGCGGCCGCCCCGGAAGTCAGCTTGGATCCTCCGAGGAGGCGCTTCTGGGCGCCACGACACGCCGAAGTTGGAAAGACCAGCGTTTGGAAACCCACGAGAGTTGAAAAAAGGCGGGACAAGAAAAAATGAGGCTACCGACCAAAAGCAATACACGAAGCCAACGAAGGCCTATGTTGATAAACGCCGAGGTTGAACAGAAACGAAATGTGGTAAAATCACGACGTTGAACTAACCCAAAGGTCAAGACATTCGACAACAAAACCGAAGGACGGTGGAGGTCGCTCCCGCCGCTTACTCGCGGCCCCGCCACACCGCGGCGGGCCGCGACTTGCTGGGGGAAAAGGGCGACCAGCAAGACGAAGCCCGAACCGGGACAACGTCGAATCTGAACCGCTCTCGGGGATGTCGGAGGCCCGGCGGCTCGGGAGGAGGCTCGGGCGCACGACATAAACGGGATGGCTCCAGTCGGGGAACTACCCGTGGAACAACCGAATGGTCCATGATCGCTCTGGTCTGGGGCAACTCCTGCTTGGGCCCCCGAGGCGCAACCGGATCTACACCTGACCTCCTTCAGGCCTAATGGTTCGGGGCGCTGAGATGTGTCCGGCAGCGCGGACGCTCCAAAACGCTCCAGAATCTTGGACGACGCGCGGATATAGATACTCTGCCCATTCCAATCGCGATCGTCCACACCTGCTAAAAATGATTAAATTGCGACTTGTTCACATAGTACACGGTGTCAATAGTTTTAAAACAAAAAACGCCTGAGGCATCCTCATAACCGCCCTCGCGATTTTGATAATGCCTCGGGCGATTTTCTGACTCGTGGTCTTGGCAATGCTCTTGGGGGATACGAACCGACAGACCGCCTAAGACATCCCCGCAACCAAGCCAAGGAAAACCACGTACCGATTTGCCGGGTGCTGCCACGTGCCAGGAGTGAACACCGAATCCCTCGGCGGGTCGACAGGTTGACCCCTCGGCCCCGGACCCATCCATGTGCGGACTGCCTCGCTTGACGCATGCGATACCATCTGGGCGACGACCAAACACGGGGCTTACACGAGATGACGTAGTGACCTTACAGGGTGGCACACGTGGCCGCCAGCGCGGCAAGCTAAATCAAAAACGCGGGCGTTTACGCGCGACCTTACGCGGGTAATTTTCGCGCCAATGTTCGGCGCCACATAACATTCTGAGCATCCCGCAGTGCGCTCCGCTGGGGCGGTGCCCCTCGAGCCCGCGCGGGGGCAATCCGTGCTCGGGCTGTATAGAAAGACTTGCGCACGACTGCCGCGTTTCACCAAGCCATGCCTGTCCACACGCCCTCCGGAAATTCGAAAAGGATCCAAAAGCAGCCCCGAATCGCCCAGCAGGATCTCCTCCCACTCCCGTCGACGCTGACGGTGGTGCCAAAGTAAGACACCGTCTCCGCTGCTTCCACGACGTCGCCCGCTGGCGTCGTGAGGTCGCCGTCGCACCGAATTCGCAGGAGTTGGAGCTCCCCCCCAATGCAGCTCTAGTGCAACACTGCCAGCCTCCTCCTGCACTACAGTCGGGGCGTTGACCTAAGGAACCCTAAATAAGGAACGAGGCCCCTTTTTTTCCATAAGTTGAACTTTGATTTCCGAACAAAAACATAAGGAAAACCTGAGGCGAGCTGTGAAACACTTAACACGGAGCCCCTCCCCAACGAAAAGGTGTCCTTCTTCAGGGCCCCGACTGTACCAGCAGCCGCTTGTGCATGTCCTCAGCTGTCCGCGCGTCGTCGGCGTGCACCAGCTGGCTGACGCGCGCCGCCTCTGGCTGCCCCATGTGGGGAGCGACGCTCCCGCTGCCTGCCCCAACAAGCTTCGTGAAGGTCTGCGCGGGCCAGGGGGGGAGGCTCATAGTCAGCTCTACCCAATAGCAAAGGCTCCACAAGCCAGGCCGACCCCGTGGCGGCCGAGAGACTCGACGGGCACCCGCGGGGCGGGGGTCCTGGACGAATTGCAGGAGGGACGGGGGCAAACACGGGGATTGGGCACACGAAAAGCATGAAAGGGTTACGCTGGGAGCGTCGGGAGGCACACCTGGGGGTGGCTCGGGTGATATCCCAATTGGAATTGGAGTAATAAGGGTAATACTAAGAATACGAATACTAAGAATACGTAATAAGACAAAGAGTTGTAAAATTAAGAATAGGAGTTGTAATAATATTAAGAATAGTGATAAGGAGTAAAAATACTTGTGACAATAGGAATAGTAATCACATTCCAAATAAGAACACGGATAATAAGAAGAATAATAGTCATAGTATGAAAAGTAATAGAATCCTCATACTCCTATTCAGAATAAGAACAAAAAGTTGTCTCATTGTCTTCACCATCCTTGTCCTATACGATTTGCATCACCACCCATGTTGGAGCATTGTTTTTGTTCCCGGCCGTCGTGTGGGGTCGTGCATCCGAGGGTATCGCCCCCGCCACGCACGGCGCGTGATCTTAGCACCGCACCCGCACAAGATAATTGCGACACCTTGTCAAAAAAGGCAAGAAGTACAAAAGACCAATAATCAGAACGATAATACAACTGATAATAAGACTACGTAAAATAATATGTATAATAACTATACTAATGGCAATAATAACAAACGTAAACTAAGAAAAATCATACTGATGCGAGAAAAGAGTAAGAGTAATACTGGCAATAAAAAGAAGAATAATAAGAAGAAGACTAGTGATAATAATAATAGGACTCGGACTCATACTAAGGATACGGCTAACACGATTAATCGTAGTAGACTACGAATACGCATACTAATAATACTAAGACTGCGAAGAGTAAAACATGATAGTAAACACAATAATAATAAGAACAACCATACGGAGAAGTGTAAGAGTAATAACAACAACAAATAACAAGAATAGCAAACATAATAATAACAACAACGATGAGAACCATACTCAGAATACTAATACTGATAATACTAAGAAAAATAAGCATACTAAGATTAAGAATGAGAAACATGATACTAATAATACTCATCACTATTTGACGAATAGTAAGAATAAGAGCAATCTCATGATTCTAATCCTAACAAGAATAAGAAAAAGATCTTGGCCTCATTATCTCCATCATCCTTGTCCTATACGATTTGTATTACCACCCCTGCTGAAACAATGGTTTTTCCCGGCCGCGGATATCGCCCTCGCATGCGGTAGTGCATCCGAGGATATCGCCCTCGCCACGCACGGCACGTTATCTTAGCACCCGCACCGCCAAAAGTATTCGCTCCCCATCGTAGGCACGGACGGTTCCTTTTCAAAGCTGGGCTCTCTCTTGCGTGGGATTTAATGTTGTTATTGTTGGTGTTGGCGTTGTTGGTGTTTTTGATGTTGATGTCTTATTGCTGGCATTATTGTCGTTGTTCGTTTTGGTGCCGTGCCGTAAGGGAGTCTTGAGGAGGAGGAGGAGGAGGAGGAGGAGGAGGAGGATTTGCTCTGTTTAGCTGGGCCAAGGCCTCTTGACTGAGGCCTTGGCCTTCGGCTTGATCCGTAATGGCGAATCAGAACCAAAATATTGCGAGAATGTCTCAGGCGGTGTGCTTGTTTCGGCGAGCAGACTCGTCTGCGCTCACAGAAAGGTGCGAGGTGCCAGGGTACCGTTTCTGGGGTGCCGGGTGCGGTATACTTCCGCCGCGGAGGGGGGGGGGGTTCTTAATCCCACCAGCCCTCTGGGCGTAGGTGGTCTAGAGCAGATCCTCTTCCACCCCTCCCTCTTCCCCCTTGGGGGGGGGTTTACCCCTCCCCCTACCCCCTCCCCTGGACCTGGACGGGGGGGGCCGCGGGTAGTTAGAGCGTCCAAGATGGCCCAAGACGGCTCCAAGAGCGCCTCAGAGAACCCAAGATGAGCTCCAAGATGGCTCAAGATAGCGCAAGATCGCTCACGATGGCTCCTAAGATGGTTCCAAGAAGCCCAAAGACGGCCCCAAGATAACTCCAAGTGGCCAAACAGCTCCCCAAGGAGGCCCCGAAGAGGCCAAAATCGTCCCAAAACCTAAGGAAAATCAATGATTTTTGCTTTCTCGCCTTTTCGCTTCCGATGGCCATCCGAGGCCTGGAGATGGCTCCAAGATGGCCCAAGAGGGCCCCAAGAGAGCCCCAAAAGAGCCCCAAGACGGCCCCAAGAGCGCCCAAGAGCACTCCAAGAGCGTTCCAAGAGGGGTCCAAGAGGCGATTTTAGGGGCTTCCGAGGGGGGACGCTAATTAAACCCCCCCTCTTGTTTGATCGACTCCCTCCAAGATGGCCCCAAAAGCGCCCCGAAGGCTCCCCAGAGCGCCTCAAGAGGGTCCCAAGAGGCGCCCAAGATGCCCCAAGGCGCCCAAAAAGCCCTCCAAGAGGCCCTCAAAAGACCCCCAAGAAGCTCCTTCCCCTCCTCCTCCTCCTCCTCCGATTCTTCCTCCTTCTCCGTCCTCCTCCTCCTCCTCCTCCTCCTCCTCTTCCCCCTCCTCCTCCTCCTCCTCCTCCTCCGACGACGACGACGACGACGACTCCTCTTCCATCCTCCCCCTCTCGGGGTCTGTGACAGCTTCCCCCGCCCTTTGTTATTCTGCATGCTCCCCGACTTCCCTGATCACCTCAACTCCCCTGAGCATCGTTTCTGGATGGGCTGGTGGGGATACGCGAAGCGTCAACAATTGCTTCTCCGGGTTCTAGGGGGGAGGAGGGAGATGACCCTCACATCCGACGTTGCAACAAAAATGCAACATCGCAACACATCGCGACTGGAGCCCTGGACCCCATCGTTCCGCGTCGTTTTTCGAGCAGGACCGATCTGCTGTGAAGGCCCTGGGGGCCGAAACCGGGCGAACGCGCCCGTTGCGAACAAGAATTGCAACGCCAAGATCTGAAGGGAGGGAGGTTCGGGCCGGGCGAAAGGGGGGGATAGCAAAGGGGGGGGGGGTGAGAATCAGCTCCCGTTGCTGATTTTCCCGGCGCCTGCCGCAGGAATGGGCCCGGCGCAGCTGCATGCAGCAAATTTTGTACCCCCCCCTTTCCCAATCCCCCCCTTTCGTCCGGCCCGACTGAAGGGAGGGAGGCGAGGGAGGGAGAGAAGAGAGATGAGATGGATTGGAGGCGGCCGGAGGGTCTGAGCCGGGTGGGCCCCGAGAACATCGGCCACAACGGGGGGTTACAGTCGAAACGCTGTCGTAAGGAAACCGAACTGAGGAACGAGGCCCCTGTTTTTTCCTTCATGAGTTCAACCTTTGATTTGCCCTAGAATACCTATGGATAGCCAAGGAAAAACTGTACAATGTTTGGACTATCTCTAAAGGAATCCTCCTGTGGAGGCACAGGCCCGACTTCACTGTACGAGCCGTCCACTCGAACTCGGTCCCCGGGCCCCTCCCGAGAGGTCCGCCTGGCGACGCTCTGCACCGGGGGGTCGGCTTTCTGACGGCCTCGCGAGGCCCGACAACAGCCCCCGGAGACCACAACAGGCTCTTAAGGACCTTCTGGAACCCAGCACTGAGACCATGCCAGGACGAGGACAAATTCGGGCAAGCATACCTCGAGAATCTCGGAGATCCGGCGGCTCTGGAGGATGCCTCGGGCGCCGCGGCCTTCTCAGAGCGCTGCGGAACAGTCTGAGAACGTTCAGGAACGCTCTGGGACCGAAGAACCTCGAACCTCGCGTCCCCCCTTTCCTGCCTGCTGGCCGGAGACAATGCTGGGCAACCTCAGACCCACAGCCAGCTCCAAGAGAAAGAGACATGAAAGGGAGGAAATGACCCAAACATCTGGCCGCTTCAACTTTGTCGATGCGTGGGTCCAGGAGGTCCGGACCACTTCCCCGCGGCTGTTTTTTCGTCCTGAGACGTTGCTTGCGCTCCCGCGGAGGCCCGGTGAGGGCCCCCGGAGGCCGAAAGCTGCCCAAATACCGCCGCTCCGACTTTTCTCTGCAGCGGCAGACCTCCGAAGTTCGGTCGGGCGTGTCCCCCTATACAGGCGAATTGTCGACGAACCCCCCCGAAAAATACACCAGCAAAACCATGCAAACATACACGGAAAGAGTCCACAAAACGTCCCTCGACTATCTGTGGACAATCGTTGAATCTTCCTCCCGTAGGCGGACGGAGGAACCCCCCAAAAGATACACCAGCAAAAACATGCAAAAATACACAGAAACAGTCCACAAAACGTCCCTCGACTATCTGTGGACCAAAAAATACACCAGCAAAAACATGCAAACATACACGGAAACAGTCCACAAAACGTCCCTCGACTATCTGTGGACTATCTTTGAAGCTTCCTCCCGTAGGCGGACGGAGGACCCCCCCAAAAAATACACCAGCAAAAACATGCAAACATACACGGAAACAGTCCACAAAACGTCCCTCGACTATCTGTGGACTATCTTTCAATCTTTAGAGGCCTCCTAGATGGGGTCCGAGTAGATGGGGTCGAAGGATCGCGCCGCATCGCCGATACATGGGCGATGCATCGGCGATGCATCGGTAATGCACCGCCGACGCATAGTCGACGTCGGCGATGCATCGGCGACGTCGGCGTGGAGAACAGCGGGCTCCACATCGAGCCGCATCGCCGATGCATCGGCGACGCGGCGCGATCCTCCGACCCCATCTACTCCGACCCCATCTAGGAGGCCGAGAATCTTCCTCCCGTAGTAAAACAAGGCTAGGATCGGGATAAATCGCTCCAGAGCGTTCCGGAGCGCTCTCAGAGCGTTCTGGAAAGCTCTGGAGCGGCCGCGGCGCCCAATACATCCCCCAAACCCGCCGATTCTCAGAGATTTCGAGTTATCCCGATCCGATTTTGTCCCGATCTTCGTGTCGTTTTACGTAGACGGGCGGAGGGAGACTGGCGCGATCGCCGCCTGCCACGGCGCCGGGCCGGGGCCGCGGCCGGGCCCCGCGGCGCCGCAGCCGCCGCCGGGCCACTGCCAGCCTGCGCGCAGGGCGCGCCCGCAGGGGGTCGGCGCGGCCCAGCCTGGTCCTGCCGCCAGCGATGTGGTTGGCCCAAAAGCCTAGACATGATCGCGTCGTGAAAAAAATCCCGACGGGAAGTTTATGGTCAGTTTTCGGCCTCCGGGGGCCCTCGACGGGCCTCGGGGCCGCCCCGGGGAGAGTGGGCCTTCCAGGGGTGCCGTCCTGAACAAACACAGGACGTCGCATGTCTGGGAGGGGGTCCAGTTGAAAGGGAGTGGTGCGATAGGTTTAGAGTAATTGTTTTGCCAATGTACTGCGCCAGAATACTGTGTTGCATTGTAGTATTGCAACTAGCGCATTGCACGCGAAAGCCCAACAGTACATCTGCGCTCTGGGATGTACTGCACGCTCCCAACCTATTGCAACACCACCAATCTATTGCACCAAACCCATTGCACCACCCCCTTGTCGCTGGACCCCCTTCTGGGTCAACCAGAAGCGAGGTGACGTCCCCAGAGGTCCGACGTTCCAGAAAAATTGGAGCGGCGGGATTTTGGCAGTTTTTCGGCCTCTGGGGGCCCTCACCAGGCCTCCGCGGGAGCGTCAAGAAACGACTCAGGACGAAAAACAGGCCGCGGGGAAGTTGTCCAGACCTCCGGTACCCACGCATCGAAAAAATTGGAGCGGCCGGGTGTCTGGGCCCCCTAAACATGCCGTCCTGGCCCTGGACATGCAGCGTCCTGATTTTCAGGACGGCGTCCCTGAAAGTCACGACCCTTTCCCCAGGGCCAGTTTTACCCTCCCGAGTCGGTCGTTTCTTGACGGTCACGAGGCCAGGCCGCAAACTGGCAAAAACCTGCCGCTCTGACTTCTTTCACGACGCGATCATGTTTGGGGCAATGTCGGGACGGCGCTCTCTGCTCCGTGCTAGACGTCGTGCCTCCGGGGGCCCTCGCGGGGCCCCGACGCACGATTGGGGACACGACGAGCCGGCCCCATGGGGGGAAGGAGTCGGGACTCCTGGGGGGGCCGAGTGCCGACAACATCGGAACGTCGCACGTCTGGGCCGCTGCCGCGAGAACTTGAAAGCGGTTGTTGGCGGCGCGCGCAGGGGAGTGGGGGGAGGGGGGAAGGTTTCTTAGGAGGAGGCTGCTTCTCAGAAGGCGCCGGCCTTCCATCTATAGATGAGGCCCGCGCCTTCTCCCCCCTCCCCTCACCCCCCTCTGCGCGTGGCTGAGGTTGCGCTCCCAGACAGGATCGCGTCGTCAAACAATCGGGACGGGAGGCTTTTCGCCGTTTGCGGCCCTCGCCGGGCCTCGGGACCGTCAAGAGAGGACTCGGGAGGAAAGACTCGTCCCAGGGAAGGGGTCGGGACTGCGAGGGGCGCCGTCCTGAGAAAATCAGGACGCCGCCTGTCTGGGCCTTGGCCACTGCGGGGGTGGAGGGAGGGGGGAGGGCTTCTTAGAAGGAGGCTGCTTCTTAGAAGGCGCCGGCATTACATCTATAGCTAAGGCCCGCGCCTTCTAAGAAGCAGGGGTGCTTCTAAGAAGCCCTCCCCCCTCCCCTCACCCCCCTCTGCGCGTGGCTGAGGTTGCGCTCCCAGACATGATCGCGTCGTGAAACAATCAGGACGGGAGGTGTTTCGCCGTTTTCGGCCGCGGGGGGCCCTCGCCGGGCCTCGGGACCGTCAAGAAAGGACTCGGGACGAAGAGCTCGTCCCAGGGGAAGGGTCGGGACTTCTGGGGGCGCCGTCCTGGAAAGAAAATCAGGACGCCGCACGTCTGGGTATTGGCCACTGCCGCGAGAGCCTGAAACTGGATGCGTTCGAACGCATCCAGTTTCAGGATCCGACGGATCAGACGGATCCGAGAACCTGACACTGGATTCGTTCGAACTGGTGCGAGAACTCGTCGGATCCGACGAGCAAACACGCGAGCTCCGGCTCGGCCATGCCGTGGGCAAGCAAGCAAAAAAGGCGCGCGCGGGGGGGCGTGCGGCCCCCGCCGGCCGTGGAGAGCGCCGCTGCTCCCGCCTCGCGGCACTGGCGGCCCTGCAGGCGTGCGCCAGCGGGCATTTTGCGCGGACTCTGTCCATGCACAACCCCCGAAGCGACGAGCGAAAAACGAGGCCAACTCCACGCGGATTTTTTTTTGGGGGAGTCTTCCTTCCTGGGCAACAAAAAACACTCCGCCCAAGATCCACCTCGGAATCTGGAAACAGATTCTCCAGGACACTCCGAGCCCTTCCTATGTTTTTGTCCGTACGAAATCCGCTCTGCAATGTTGGCGCCATGACCTGCAGGCTCGAACAAGAACGCTGCAGCGCAGGGCTCGAGCTAAACAGTGTTTGTCGTTCTCGTGTTGTTTTCGGGTTCTTTCTGTCCTCGCTCTGCCCTGGATGCGAAACTGAACCAGGACCAAGACGGCCCACGAACTCGCCCAAACACCGCCTAGCTCGAGCCCTGCTGCAGCGTGCCGCAAGCCACGCTCTCGGGTGCACGGGCGCGCGGTGGCCCGTTGCCGGCATGCAGGAGTGGTGGGCTTGTTTTCCACCACTACCACCATAAGTAAGAGGGGTAGGGGGTCCACCTCCTCCTCCTCCTCCTCCTCCTCCATTCCCTTCCCTTACAAACAACATCTCCCTGTCGCACCCCGAAGCCAGTTTTTAGGGCATGCCGGGCGTTCATCTTCACCATTTTTGACTCTGAAACTTAAAGATTGGCAGCAGCTTCGCAGATGGAGTGCGGGTCGTTTTCAAAATGTGGCTCTCGCCTTAGCGCGGCGCACATTCGTTTGTAAAGTTTGCAAGGGCTTCACGGGTTGAGGGCGGGTGGTTTCCAACATGTGGCTCTCGCCGTAGCGCGGCGCACATTCGCTGTAAATATTTGGGAATGCTGCACGGATTAGGGGCAGGTGGTTTTCAAAATGTGGCTCTCGCTTTAGCGCGGTGCACATTCGTTTTGCAAGTTTGCAAGAACTTCACGGATTGAAGGCGGGTGGTTTTCAACATGTGGCTCTCGCCGTAGCGCGGCGCACATTCGTTGTAAACATTTTGGAATGTTGCACGGATTGAGGGCAGGTGGTTTTCAAAATGTGGCATTCGCCATAGCGCCGCGCACATTCGTTTAAACAATTGCAAGAGCTTCATGAATTCGCATCATCAACGTACCACACTCGTTGATTTGGACGGATTCAGGACTATGTGGGTGCAACAGTTACGTTGGCTCTCTGTGTTGAAGTCCTAGGAATGGACTTCTGGCACGATTCAGGATCGTCAAGAAGCAACAATCAGGTTGATCCGTGGCGTTGGGATCCCGAGAACCAACTTTTGGCATGCTTCAGGGTCTTCAAATATCAAGGGGCCCAAGGACACACACATACATACACACAAATAAATGTGTTCCCCATATTTTCCAATAGTTTCTGGGTGTTGTCTTCCCGCCCAATTCCCATATTTTCCAATATTTTCTGGGGAATCGAGCATTAATTGTGTCTGTGTGTTCTTTCCTCTCCTGCAAACAAGTGTATTCGAGCGAGGCAGTTCCATCAATGGAATTGAACCGTTGTAGGGGCCTATGAAGAGGGAGCTTGGAGGGAGGGTTTACTCCAACATCGTTGGTGACTGCTGGGTTTGCAGTGGTCCTCCACCTCCTCCTTCTCCTCCCCCTTCCTCCTCCTTATCCTCCACCTCCTTCCCTCTCAAACTTATGGTGGTGGTGGTGGTGGAAAACAAGCCCATCACTGAGGGCGGCTTGGAGCCCGAAGTGCGGGAGAGATCGCGGCACACAACGGCCCCCCCAGGCCGACTGCGCGCGTCAATGTGCGGGGCGCTCTGCTGCCCAACAGCGCGGCCGCTCTCCCGGGGCAGGCACTTCGACGCTCGTCGTCCACGCTCCTCCTTCTCCTCCTCCTCCTCCTCCTCCTCCTCCTCCTCCTCCTCCTCCCACCCCTTGGCCTCATCCTCCTTTTCCTGCTTCTCCTCTTCTTTTTCCTTCTCTTCCTCGTCTTCCTCCCTGGCCTCCTCCTCCTCCTCCTCCTTGGCCCCCTCCCTTGGCCCCCTCCTTCTGCTCCTCCTCCTCCTTTTCCCCCTATTGCTCCTCCTCCTGCTCCTCCTCCTTCTCCTTTTCCTACTCCTTTTCCCACTCCTCCTCCTTCCTCCTCCTCCTCCCTCCTCCTCGTCCTCGTCCTCCTCCTCCTCCTCCTCCTCCTCCTCCTCCTCATCCTCCTCCTCCTCCTCCTCCTCCTGTTCCGCCTCCTCCTCATCCTCCCGACGACGACTTCGACGACGCTTACAATAAGCGCATGCGGCCTGCCGGCGGCGCGGGCGCCGCCACTGGCGCGGGCGCGTCGAGCACCTGGCGTCCCCGTGCGAGGGGCGGCGCGGGAACAGCGACGCGCGCGCGCTCCTCCGCCTCCTCATACCTTTTTGTTTCCCACTTGTTCTCCTCCTCCTCCTCCTCCTCTCCCTCCTCCCTCTCTCCTCCTCCTCCTCCTCCTCCTCCTTCCTTCCTCCTCCTCCTCCTCCTCCTCCTCCTCCTCCTCCTCCTCCTCCTCCTCCTCCTCCTCCTCCTCCGCCTCTTCCTCCTCATCCCAGCCAATCTGGCCAACACGGATGGCTTGCGGCAGCAGGCTTCAGAACGGCACCGCTGCTGTTGCTGTGAGATACAATGATGGGAAAGATTGCGTCATGGCACTTTCGCCGCAAGCCCCCGCGGTGCTCCGAGGGCCACGACATGCTGTGTTGGGTGGTGGATGACGCATGCGGGCGGTCCCACTGGAGCCTCCGCCAGCGCTCCCTATGGGGCCACGAAATGAGGGACGAGCGGGAGGAGGACGAGGAGGAGGAGGAGGAGGAGGAGGAGGAGGAGGAGGGAGGAGGAAAACAGGAAGGAAGGAAGGAAGGAAGGAAGGAAGGAGGGAACGCGGGGACCATTTTCTCAAAACGAGGGCCCAACAACACAGGCTGGTTGGAAAAATGCATGTTGGGCAGGCGGCGGCTACACCAAGTGCGCGTCGTCCGCGGCTACGCCGACAGCGAATCCTGCTCGCACCCGTATGGAATGTCTGTCGGTATCCGTCCCCGTCTGGAACATCCCGCATAAGGCGGTTTGAAAGAACACTTCCCAGACATACGAACACCAACCTCGACGGCGAAACGCCAGATGCGTTTCCCGGATTTCCCGAAGCAAGCCAGAATGCACTTCCGGGGTTTCCTAGGGCAAGGCGGGCGCCCCCCCCCCCCCCGGTCCTGATTGAACCGAATTGCTGCGAATCCTGATCGCGCTGGTCAGGAACTGGTTTGTCCGCCCCCGTCTCGGCGGCCCCGAAGAAAAAGGCCAGCATTAGGTCGGGCATGTCCCCCAACAGGCAGACTGTGGACGAGCACTAAAAAGTGTTAGCAAAAATGCCCAATCAAATTAGCCTGGCGAAGGAACCAACCATGTGCAGCTGTGAATACCGCAATTATGAATATAATCTTCGCCCGCGCTCCCTATGGGGCCACGAGCCGTGTGAGGGGCGTGCCGACATGCGTAGCGGGGTACACAGAGCGAGCGAAGACGATAGGTCTGTGTGCGAGAGACTGAGAGCGAGTGAGTCCGATTGTGGATGAGTCCGCGCGCGCGTGAGTCTACGTGCATAAATGTCGACGCCCATGTTGGCGCTCGTCTCACGAAGATCGCGCCCGTTTCCTTCCCGTTCTTCTTCTCCCTCTTTGCCCGTGCACGCCCACGTCCAAGGCTGCGGGCGTGGCGCCGCACGGATTCCCCGCGACGCGCGCTGGTCGCCCCGAAGGGGTCCCGGCGACGCGCGCGGGTCGTCCGCTGCGCGGAGCAGAAAAAGCGAGCAGGCTGGCTCCCGCCCAGGATGCGCGGCCCGAAGGCGGCCTCAATACGTCGAATACGATGAAAAACTTCGGGAAATCGAAAGTCGCCGCCATGCGAACTCCGCCACTAGGCCGCCATGCGAGTTCCGCCACGGAGACCTCAGGTGGAGCTCCCTGTGGGGCCACGCAACGCTGTACTGGGTGGTGGATGAGGCATGCGGGCGGTCCCACTGGGGCCTTCGGTCGAGTCCCGTATGGACCACGAAACGGTGTACTGGGTGGTGGATGACGCATGCGGGCGGTCCCACTGGGGCCTTCGGTGGAGCCCTCTATGGGGCCACGAAACGCTGTACTGGGTGGTGGGTGACGCATGCGGGCGGTCCCACTGGGGCCTTCGATGGAGCTCCCTGTGGGGCCACGAAATGCTGTGCTGGGTGGTGGGCCCTCTATGGGGCCACGAAACGCTGTACTGGGTGGTGGGTGACGCATGCGGGCGGTCCCACTGGGGCCTTCGGTGGAGCTCCCTATGGGGCCACGAAATGCTGTGCTGGGCCTGGTGGATGAAGCATGCGGGCGGTCCCACTGGGGGGGCCTTCGGTGGAGCCCCCTATGGGGCCACGAAGCGCTGCACTGGGTGGTGGATGACGCATGCGGGCGGTCCCACTGGGGCCTTCGGTGGAGCTCCCTATGGGGCCACGAAATGAAGGAGGAACGGGAGGAGGAGCAGGAGGAGAAGGAGGAGGAGGAGGAGGGACGAGGAAGAAGGAAGGAAGGAAGGAGGGAACGCGGGGACCGTCTCTTCAAAACGAAGACCCAATTACACAGGTTGGTTGGGAGAAATAAGAACACATATCGTCCCTGACTATGTTTCACTATGTCTGAACATTCCTCCTGAAAGGGATTACGCCCGACGTAAAGGTAGGTCGGGCCTGTCCCCAACAGGGGGATTTGGGACGACACAACTTAAACAACAAAAAAACGTCCCCAGGGTATGTTTCCCTACCTAGGCTGCCTAGACCGGTTCTTACTATTAGGCTTGAAGGGCCGGGCAGTGGAACCCGCCCCGGGCGGTTCCCCTGGCATTCGCCCCGCGGTTCCCCCAGAGACGTTCCCTTAGCTTCGCGTTGCTTATCTCATCTTAGCTTATCTTATTTCATATTAGCTTAACTTCATCTTAGCTTAGCTTAGCTTCATATAAGTGTTTGATGCTGCTTTCCTAGATCCTCCAATTCCTAGGTAGGGTCGCACTGTGATAATTTTACTATTTTTGAAAATTCCCCCTGTAGAGGGACACGCCCGACTTTTTAACGCTAGCAGTACGCTCAAAGCAGGACCACGGGGACGCGGCTCGCGCGCACGAGCCCCCTCGCGCCGAGAGGGCCCCAGCCCCCCCCCCGCGGCAACGGCCCAAGCAGCTGGGCTCCAGAGCGGAGAACCCATGCACGAAGGACAGATCAGACTGTAG